GTACAATAAAAAATCAAGACCAGCCCCGGTGTCTAATAATAACCGGGCATCTATCCAACTCATACAAGTGGGGGTAGTAGCAAGACGACAACATAACCAGTAAGCAGATGGTACCGAAGCCCTATCACGAGTGATAGGAAGCAGTTTCAAGTCCTGCTCAGGACTCATGAGAAAGGGGCAAACCGGTCAGAACGGATGCTGTTCTTCGTCAGTCGAGAGATAACGGCATCCCTATCAGTGCCAGCCTTGAGAGCAACTATTCGGAAGAACGGATTACGACGTCCTTTTCCCTTCAAAGGGAAGTTGCTCTCCATTTCAGGAATGGCCTTCTGCAGATCGTCACCCCACAGTCCAATGACCTTGATCAATTGGTCAGGCTTATATCGTTCACACCACTGCTTGGGGGTTACTGAGCGAGATCCCGATCCGGAGTTAACCTTATCCACTGAGGCAGCAGAATCCTGTTTGCTTGCCGGCTTCGAGGATAAACTCTCTTCGCAGGTGTCGTCGTACATGGCGGCGTGAACACTATCGACCCCTTTCGTCGGTTTCATTATTGAGGCTTGGTCCTTTGTTCGGCATACCCATCGGATTGCCTCACAAACACTTCGCACTCCGTCTGATGCCTCATCGAATGGCACCGCCGTCTCCCAGTCCTCATCGACAGAGGCTAACCCCGACAGCTGGCAAATTCTCTCCACTCAGCGAGCTCCTCAGGTGTCGCCATATTAACAACGAGTAGACAAGTTTACGGTTGTGAAACTGAGATTGAGCGTATCAATGTCATTTAATATAATGGCTCAGGGAAAAAACACCATCAATTGCGGGGCACGCACGTACACAGGACTGCACGCACGAACAAAGCAAGACCGGGCTCGTCAATCCTCAATAGGTGTAATTTACACCTGTTCAGTTCCTGGGCACTATCAAGGTTATTATAACCTTTGTAAGATACATTCCGCAGATTATAATGAATCATCGGCGGAAGTGAACAGCAGGTCTAGCGATTCAAGTTCCGATGATGGACATTGCTGGAGCCCTCTTCAGTGGCCTTCAGAACGTCCTGAACGACGAGCGAAGAAAAACTCCGGTCTCACACTTCGAGTGGATTCTTCATAACTAACCTCACTAGTAGATGCGAGTGACGCAGCAGGGGATTAGCAGTGGAAAGCTTCCACTGGAAGCGGTCGAAACCACGCGGGTATGAGGAAAACTTCTTCCGGAAATGCGGTAACTGTTTCCGGTCACTCCACGTTAGCGATCTTGTATGCACTCGCGGCAAGTCAGTGCGAGGGAGTAATTCCTTTTTTTCAGGGCAATGCCCGCCTTTGCAGGGCAGAGCATTCGCTCGCCTTAACGGTTTCACAGTGTCGTCTGAGGTTGATATCTCAGGGCAAATCTTTGCTTAAGAATTTGCAAGTGCGCAAGATGTTTTTAGGAAGATCAACTATGCGGAAGGTTTTGGTTTCTTACGAAGTGATTGCCGAATCGAAAGTTCATCGGCTACATTGAATGTAGTACATTCGGAGATGAACTGGGAATGATTGGGAACGTTTTGAGTAGATCACGACATATTGGATTATCCATCTTCGTACTGCTAAGTCGGCTTTACTGAGTGTACAGGTTGTAGTTTAATAATGTTTTTCTTTCGACCTTTATTTCTGGGGCTACTCTCGTACAGTT